ACTAAAGGTGATTCAACGTTCGTTGGTGAATTATTTGATTTTGATATTATTCAGCACACGGATGAAAGACAAGACGAAGCAATAAATATAAGACATCGTGTTCTAAGATGTCCTACTCTCGGATGTTCGCGAATTAAAGCGTTTACAAATAGAAAAGCATTATATGAACATATTGAAAGTAAACATTGTCGAGTGAAGAAAGTTGCTGAAACGTGGTAACAGGAAGTAGTTACGCCAAAACTACAAAAGAAGACAGGTAAATCGCTACTTATATACTTTTCTGTACTATCCTTCTTCTTTGTATTTTTAGCTACAAAACAAAAACCATTTATAGTCAATCTTGTGACTAAATCAGCACCTGTCGTAGGTCGTTTCATTGGTAAAAATGGTGTTAATCTCAAACAATTCCAGCAAGCCAATAATGTTCATTTGAAAATTTTATCAAAAACGACTACTATTAGTTTAATGCAAAATTCAAACGTACAAGTTCAAGTGAAACTGTTGAAAGCGAATGTCAATGCTGATGACGTGAGTAAAAAATTAAGGTTATTGTGGGAAAAAGCAGATCGTGAACAAAAAAATGAAGAAGAAAATTTTAAACGGCTGCAACGGACTTGGATACAAAAACAATCATCAACTACAAGTGATATAGATTTTGATAGTGATATGGAGCTTGATGGTGATACGAGACATGCAAGAGCATTTACAATATCTGGTGATGAATTGATACGACGACGATCAACAAGATATGAAAAAAAAGAAGCAACGCTGGGAAGACGACAAGCACGATCTATTTTGAGTTTGGAAGGACATCGATGTGCGGCAACGCAAGATCGTCAACAAGGAGGAACAAAATCAGTAATGTTTCATCAAAAGAAAAAAACGAATATGAAAGATAAACAATGGATGGTGAAGGAACAATTAGATGATATGCCATTAGATGTGGATGACGAATGAATGAAAATTAGAAATGATTGTAAAAATGACTCTCATGCTTGTAAATAATTTTCAGGGATTTGCTCATAAGTTTTCTGTCAGTGATTGTGTATTCTTAACATAGATTTATGATTGATGGAAATCAAAATATCCTACTAATTAAGACCTTCCCCTCAAAAATCGATCTCAGTCCAGGTACGGGCAAATGGCATGAAGTTTTCAGGATATGTTGAGCCTGTAGTGTGGGTGGGTGTTGGTGTGGATGATAGAAAAGGCATACCGACCCATATTCACACCCTTTCAAGTGAATTTCATAGAATCACAGGAAGTCCACAGAAATCCTAGGGAATTTTGTGAAACCCTTTGCATTCTAAAGAATCATAGGGAATTCTTGGGATTCGTAGGAATTCAAGGTCTCAGAATTTCGTGATTTTCCCTTGTATAGACTAAAATAGGAGTTGTTACCAATAGAAACTCAATAATCTGTATGGATTTCACATGTTATGTTTTTGTAAAAGTTAAGTAATAGATTGCTTCTCGAAAGAACTAGTGACTTGAACCCATCCGATTCTATGCGAATAACTAGAGGAACTACTTCGAACATTCGATGAAATAAAGTCTTGAATTAACTTGTGTCTCTGGTTTTTGTTCTTCGAAATCTAATTGTGGTATGCTATGTAGCTCTGTTTATGACGCTTGAAATACTCTCTTTAGTCTTAGAAATGCTCCTAATAAGGTGCTCATTAAAGTTAAATAATGAAAATCACCCTTACCGAGACAATTTAACAGATGGTTTCTTGAGACTTGGTCGAGTGTTATGTAAGTCAGACGAGCGCTTTGTTTGTCAAGTATTTTTTTTTCGCACTTTTGCATCATGGCAACATTTCGATCTCTTTTTGCCTCTTTTTTTTTGTTTTTCATTTTGAATTCTTTTCATCTACACACTCTTTTTTTGAAAGACTGCACATAGCAACAGTAAAACATGCAATATAAACAGCAGAAGACGACTGATTGTAAACAAGAAAAAAGAAACCATATTTGCACAAAGAATTTCAGTTCATAGAAATTGTATGCGTCAATATTTATTTCTATACAATATGTAGTAATTGACATCGTTCAATAATGAACAAGAACTAATAAAAATGAACTTTAAGAAAATCTGATTATAGACAACAAGCAGACTACGATTATTTTAAAAATGATTTCATAATTTATTTCATTCTTGGAAAGATGCGACTTATGTCATTATAAACATCAGACAACTTTTCTGTAAGTCGACAAGAAAAAGTGATAATATTCAATATAATTACTAGTTTTCGAATTCAATTCATATTTTTCTTCAATGAAAAAAAAAGAAACGATTAGATAAACTTTCATTGGCGTTCATTTGAACTTAGACTGCGAAATATTCTTTATATTATTAAAAGAGCATTTTCAAAGAAACTTGATTCGTTTGATACGTAATCTTTGAGAGAACAACTAATCTTTTAAGATAGTTCAAATTGAATATAAAACTCGAAATTAAGACTATGCTATTCTGATTTGCAGTGGCTATAATAAAGATTTAATTAAGAGTATATTTGTGGGTATAGATGTTAGTCTTTTCTTCGCTTGCATGCTCTTTCTACTAATGTGTATCTTATTCTACATGAATTTAATTATATCTTTGATTTCAATATCACCTTCTATTCGATACATCATTATCCACGTTGTTTATTTCTATTATTCTTCTCCGAGTTGTTTATCTTGAGAAAGCCTGATGAGAATGGTGTGGGTGGGTGGGTGGATAGGTGTAGGTGTGCGTATGGGTGTGGCTGTGAACCTTCATGCACGTCATATCAACACCTACATTCACATCCACACCCGCGATGCATCATTGTTCCTGTTGCCAATTATCAGTGTTATGATTATGAATGCTCATGTTCACATTGATAATAAGGAAGACTTAGAAATTGAAATAGAATATATCAGAGGAAAATTTTTCTTTTTGTTCATGCTATTACACAGTAAGCTCTTCATACAGTCGAAATATCCAAGACTATTAGAGTAAAATAAAAGTATGAAAATTTTTTTGCATAGCTATCAAGTAGAATAGCAGCCGTCTAATCTCATTCGAAGGATTTCTACAAAATATCGGCGAAAATTGTCCTTAATTCTTTAAGTTTGGTTAGAGAGGGAATAATTGAGATTTCAGCTGTGAAGTCAAATGAAGTCTTGAACGTCGTTTGAAGTCTTTTAAAGTTCGATCCAGTCTCTTCAAGCCATGTGAAGTCTGATGGAGTCTCCTAAACTCTCCTATATTGAGTAACTTGTATGAAGAGCTTTAGAGTTTGTAAAAACCGTATCTCCAAGATCTAAACTTTTTAAAAACACGTCCTTTCCGAAACATAACAAACTACCGTAGTTAAACCTTATTTTTAGTATCATTCGGTTTGAAGCCCGAAATAAAATGAGGAAAACCTTTATAAATAGCTAATTGATCTGATGAAAATGATTCATGATGTAAACCATTTTGTTCCAGTAATCTTTCTTTATTTATAGTATTTTCCCATTGGTGATTGTCGTTCTTCAGCTGTACAATGTTGTCGTAATTTATTATCACTTAATAAAAGTTGATCTATTACTTCTATTGCATGACTTATCATTATTCATTGTTGAGGTTTGTGATATATCAAGTATAGTATGGAAAAGAGATTTAATGTATGATTGTATATGTTATGGTAAGGTTGAACGTGCTGGTGTATGCAATTGTTGTTCATCAAGATTTACAAGAAAATATTTTGGTGCTGTTGCTGCTACTTCAAAAGAACGTTGAATAGTTTAAAAACTTTTATTAATTGCTCGTTCAATCGGAGAATGTGTAG